AAAAAATAAATTATTTATTTATGTTTATTGTAATATTACCATGTATTAAGACTATAAGGGTAAGAAACAATGATTCTATATTAAACTTACCTTAAATAGTAGCCCGATATATTCTGTAAAATACTTCTATAAGTAGTATATTTCAATTGTGTATTACATAATATAATTTTAAATTATACTATAAACTATACCTAAGTATAAACACCAATGATTGGTATGATTTTGGACTCGAAATCATAAATAATTTAGCAGCATATTTCAATTCGTAGCTCAAAAGGGGGTGTAGCGTGAAGTTGCCCCCCATCTTATATTTTTCATACCGTGTGGGTAATTTATTTGCAAATTCTGAAAACCAATTTGCAAATGTTTGCAAGTTATTTGCAAATTATTGGTAGTATCTTGAAACCGCTAGCTACATATTGGGGGGCTGCGTGAAGTTGGCCCCCTCCCCCATATTATTTTTATACCGTATGGGGAATTGATTTGCAAATATTTCCAAATTATTTGCAAAATGTTAACATATAACTTTCAAAAAAGTTGGTCATGGTGTTGGGGCCAACTTCACCCTGTTTTTTTTTTACATATTTTTTCCAAGTTCCAATTATTATACATCGTATAAAGCTGTAGACCAAATAACTACACATTTTTTTCAGAAAATGTTGGATAATTTAAAAACATACAATTCATATTTCAATAAAATAATAAAAGTTGGCTATAAAAAACGTGGGGTGCTAAATTTTAACTTGGGGAAGCTAAAAACTTTTTTGCACCGCCCTAGTTGTGCCACTGACCAACACCCATTTTTAGCTGTATAACTCGTCGACCCGACCTCGCCCGTTTAAATTGAAAAATTGGATAGAAATTTATTAATTATAAAATATAGCCCCTAACAGTTCAGTCCGAACACCCACGGACTCTGTACTCGTGGTCCACAATTGTATAATATGACACTCAAGTCTTGTGTGTAAGTGTAAGGTGTAGGTGGAGTGGTATAAATTAATGAGGTAATACCGGCAATGTACAACATTACAATGTAGACATATCATCCAAAACGTAATTATAACATCGGTACAACACTACGGCTGAAATACGGATCGGTGGCGTTATTTATACATTTTTTTTTAAACTAGTAGTTATTAGAAGTTATCTACTGACTACTTTGATATTATATTCCAACAGGAATCAAAAAACATTTAACTAGGTAACCATGCTTATAGTGAAAAAACACAACTGCAATTTTCCAGACGAAGATCGTCCACGTTTGAGTGAAATATTACAGCAATGGAAGTTGGACGTCTAATATGACACTTTAGTTGGTAATAAATTTAAGTCGTATTCATAATATATTATATTATTATAATGAAGTACATATTTATTTTATTATTAGTTATTTTGTATTTAGATCAATTTATCACCATAACAGTGTTAAGACTTTTACAAAAAGATGATATTAATGAATTGATATCAAATAAGTTTCCTATTGGTATAAAAGTTAAGTTTACTTATAATTATAAACTTCAAGAATAGCAAAATCGCAATCCACTCAGTGCTTTAGAATATAGTCGGTTGAACAAACATCTTAAATTGTTTTCTTAAATAAGCATTTGAATTATAAAAAGAGTTTAATTTAATTTAACTACTGTTGTACGATTTTATTTTTAAATTTTTTAAAACACTCAGATAGTTATAAAAATGGTTTGATTTATAAAAATGTAGTTATTTAATTAGGTACTTAAACCAAATTATAAAAATTTGGAGTATTATTATGTAGTGTCTTCAAATATACTACCAATATTGGGTCCAGGGAAAAAAGATAGTCTTATCTCGGACTCAATTTACCTAGCCCCGTTTGAAGCACAGAAAATGTATTACCTACTTGGTTTAAAATTCTATAAAATTAATTTAATTATATACAGTTAGAAAATATTAGTATTATATATACCTGGCCACTAAAAAATGTTAATCGTGCCCCACCGAGGTCCGTTACATTTCTGCCATCTAAACTGTATAATGTAGGTATAAGATGTAGCTACCTATAATCTATATTATGTAAGTATATCAGTAATTAGTACACTAATAGACCATTTATTATATAGCCATATATAGGTAGGTATATTGTAATCATATATTATGCATCTATAATAATTTGATGAAGTAACATTAATTAAAATATGTACGATAACAGTTGAGCCAAAATCAGAAAACTGTAGATTGCAGCATACCATGCAAACTAGTCACTATATTATATTGGAGGACCGGTGACCATCATACATAGCTACTTTTTGGAATTTCATACTTCGGGTGCCGTTCAATGGTCAATAAATAAATATACATTTGTGCGTCGTGTGTGTGTGTGTGTTCGTTGAAAGGAATGAAAAAAAAATGAATAGAAAAAGAGGTCACATTGCGTACTATATATATGTATATAGGCTGCAAGTACCTATATATTATGCACTCCCCAAGGCACCCCGTCGAAACGGAAAGAGTTAGATACTGCACCTTACACGATATAATATAAAATATATAGTCAATAGTCATATAAGATTTAGTATATCTACCTAAATATCTACATGCGCAGCCCACATAGTATATACAACCCTCAGTCGTCTTATGTCATTTTACGACTGCATAGCGCGCGTATTATATTGTCAAATCCAGTCGTAAAACCCGTCGGTCCGTCGTCGTATTATACGCATTGGTAGTCTACCTATATTATAGTTATTATTGTAACATAGCTACAGTCGACAGACCAAACGATATAATATTATGTCATTCGCGAGTCCCCACTATTCATATAAGTGTAATACTCCAGTTGTAGGACGTAGGCGCACACAATCGTATATACCTACAATGGCGTCGGCATTTTAGGAGGGTGTTAGAGGTTTGCCCCCCTCTCCGGCCACCACCTCTCAGAACCAACAAAAAAAATGTCTTAGAGATTATTATAAAAATAATATATTCATATTGTACTAGTTATTTACCTATGTATTTCAATTGGAAAGCAAAAGGGAATATAAGATTTCCGAAAAACTAGATATAATTCATTTCCAAACCAGACATTACAGACAAGTACCTATAGGTTGCGGTATTAGTTATTACTAAACTACCTATACAACAATTAATATTTAATAACATATTAATTATTAATATTGTAGACGTTATTGCAAGTATATTACCTATATGGGCATATTGCATTGGTATGTCTCAATGTCTGTATTATATTCGATTTCCATACTACAGGTATAATAATATAATACCCCGTGATCCATGCGCCGCGGCGCGCAACGTACGCAATACAGCAACACACTGCTTTATTTTAGCCTCTAGAGCAGTGAACGTATTCGTAAGTACCTATAAGCTATTATTTTTTTATTTTTCAAATAATTGATATTTCTTTTCATTAATGTAAATTGTACATACCATAAATAACAACTGTTATAATATTGATTCTAAGACAGTAAGACGTGAACATTCACTACAACTTGCAAGCCTCAATGCCTCATCATATTAATACCTATATATTTTGATAAACATATAGTATTACTATTTACTATCTGTACCACCAGGATTTGTTTTTTTATAAATACCTATATTTGTAAAAATATATACATGCCATATTTCTACTAATTATAATAGTAGTATTATTATGTAATATGTAACCAATGGACACCAATTACACATACATAACTTTTATTTATAACGATCCGGTAGTGATAAGTCTAAAACCAACATCCATTTTTAGCTGTAAAACCCACCAAATCATGTAGTGAAAAATAAAAAAATGTATAAAATATAAAGCTAAATAGGAGTGGTTTTAGTGTATTTCAATTCACGTGCAAATCGACGTAGGTTTACACATTGTGGACAACTAGCATTGTATGATATACATTGAAAATTGTTCAAGACTACTCTCAAAACTTTTCTGATATCTCTAATAATTTTAATGTTCACAAAATCGATCAAGCTGTTTTTAAATGCCTAGGTACCTATATAAGCTACAAACTAACAATTATTTAACTGTTGCCATTGGGACATTGGTTACAAAAAATAAAACAGTTATTATGATTGGATAAGGCCTATATTTTATATTTGATCAAAAAACTAAGTTAAAAATCTTAGCAGTTTATATTGAATTGAGCTTATTGGTAACCTGGTAATGTGCAACAGGAGTTTAATTAGCAAAGGGTAACGCCATGTAGAATCAGCTAGTATATAATTTAGGTACCTACCTAAATACTTTGGTAGGTATTATATGTAAATGTATTCTATTTTTAAATCTGAATATTGATACAATTGAAGTTCCACTACATATTATAGGCATTCATTATTATTGTTTATTGAAATTGGGCTTTTACATGCAAATTTTGGTAAAATACTAAAATATAATATAATATCCTCAAACTAAGATAAAACTATCTTAGTTTGTGATAATATCCCACCATCACGGTTATCTACACAACTACACATGACTACTCGTTACCAAACTATTACCTTCTAGCCTACTGTACTAAAGAAATTGTAAACAACTATTTGGTAAGTACCTAAAAGTTTTGAGTTCTATAAAACATAATACTAAAATAAATTTATATTTTTAAAAAGGTCTAAGAGAGTAATATAAATAATATATATATATATACAGTAAGTACCATAAACTATGCATAATGAATTATTAATCAACAATCAACAATAATACATTTTATAAAATATATGGTACTGTATTTATATCATGGCCAATATTAAAAAAAATTTAGGTACTTCATTATAAAAAAAAACACAAATTAATTATTATTAAGTACAGTTTTTTTAAAAAAACTATATTAAATAAAATAAACAAATCAAATAAATATTATTAATTTCTATAAAAATGTAATTGTTTATATAAATCAAAACCAAACATACAATAATTTAAAAATTTTAAATATAAAGAATAAGAATATTAAAAATATCTAGTTTACGTAGGTAGTTAAGTATCTAAAAGTTACTAGTTATTTTCTTAGTTGTATTTAAAAGTATATTTACAATTTACCGTACGGTTTAACAATATTGAGTAGATACTCACGGTGGAGGAATAAACTTAATGGAAAGCACAAAGTTGTTATTTAACAATTAAATTGAAACCGTGCAGGACATATAGCTCACTATTTCAACAGTCCAAAAATGGTAAATTAGGTATCGTAAATTTATAAATACACATTTATGAGTGTGCATGAATTTAAAACTAAGTTAATATAAAAGTTAATCGTTACCGATACCAGAAAATTAAGGCAAGATTCATTACAATACAATAGTAAGAGAATTTATACATATTAAAATATATATGCTAAATCAAGGGTTAAATTCATACAAAAATAAAATGTTAAAATTTATTTCCTTAACAATATTTCCAACTAAGACATAAATAAAAACTATTAAATACCAGTTTATCAGTTTGTAAAGTAAATACTATTGGATGGACATAAGGTCAGGGCACTTTAATTAATACTATTGTTCATAGGTTTTCAAGCAATAATACAAATTTATTGAAACAATAATATACTAAATACAAGATAGAATTTTTTATTAAATAAAATCCATAAAAACTTTGAGCAATGGATGAACAGCTTTAATAATGGGTTTGTTCGAAGTTAAACTATTAAAGGAATGCATTCAGTAACATTATCAATAAAATTGTGAGTTTCATTTGTTAATAATTAAAAATTAAAAATTATGGTTTTCTGTGATTTCAATTAGCTTCTATTGAGAAAAAAAAGTAAGATACAAAAATGAATGATAATACTTTTGACACAATATGTTAATGTTAATGTTGTTTAAACTTAAAAGATTAATATGGCAATTTCTTGGAAAAAAGAGAATAATATTTCACAGAGTTGTCTTTATCAATTAAAATTAAATGTTATTACTGGAATGAATAAAATAGTCAGTTGGTGTTTGCTTAAAAATTACGGTTTTGATAAATTTTAGGCAGTAATATTCATTTATTTATGGATTACACAATTGAGCTTCATTTGTTTAAAATCTAAACACTATGGAACTGAAAAACAATTTGGCTATAATAAATACTTACAAATTATTTCATTACTCAAATAAAATGTGTATATTTATGTATAAACGCATATTAAAATATTCAATGATTGGATAAGATTATTAAGACTATATCATTAAAACTAAGGTAGTAAAAAATTAAAAGAATATTGTTATGATAAATGTGGTATGCACACATATTATTGGTAACAAGTTTGACAGTCTAAGTTTCATTATAACTGCTCAAACAAGATTGTACCCGATTCATACAACTTGGTCAAATAATAATTAGACATATAATAATATGATTTTATACATATTATTATGGCACTACTCGTTTCAGAATAATCCTTTTTTCTTGATTTTTTTCTCTTTTCCATCAGTAGTTCTAAAACACAACAAGTTAACATTTTATTAAATATACTGTATCTATCTGATTTATTAACTAATAAGTTATAATAATGTATTAATGTATGTAAGAAATATAACATACTCTCTCTCTAATGATCGCCTTCTCAATTCGTCAAGACTAACACCACTGCTAGATTCCCAGTCTCTGATTTCTAATTCAAGTTGTCGACGTCTTTCGTCCAATTCACTAGCTTCAGATTCTAATCTCTTCAACATTTGTTCATTCTTTTGTTGCAACTGTTAAAAAAAATGTATAATTGATAATTAATAATTATTTTAATTACATTGTAGTAAATACAAAACACTTACAGCAATTTCTGAATCTTTAAGTTTCTGTTTTTTTTCTTTGACTTTCATCTCAAACACTTGTTCCATTTCAGTTTCCATTTTCTTAAGTTTGGCATCATGATCACGTTTCTCATCTTCCATTTGGGCTAGTGGATTCCTATTATTGAAAAATACAATAACAAATTATGTACATTCAAACATAACAGGCTTAATGCTACACCAATTACAATGTTTCTTTATAATCTTAATTTGTTGTAAATTTATTGGACTAATTTTTGGATGAGGGAAAAGTTATTGTTTCTTTCATACTATTAACTGAAACTTACCAAACGGCAACGAAGGAATTGTTGATTGCTCCCGGGGCGCACGAGCTGGACCAGTGTGTAAGAAAATAATAATAATAATTTTTTTTTTAATTGATATTATAAACATAATCAGTATAATGGTTTTAAAAAAGCTTATGTTCAAATAAAAAAGCATTCAATGCTATGAACTACAAAATACTAATCTAATTACTTGTCTTATTTAACCAAAATTATGATTAAAGAGCAGATTATTAAGTTTTTAAAAGTTTCAAATTGATTCTCATATGCTCTAAAGAAACCTTAAAATATACTATTAATAATCTTCAAGCTGGTAAAATATGCTATTTTTTATTTCCAATAATTTATAAATCTGTATACAATTTACAATAGAAACATATTATCATAGGCGTAGAATGAGAGGGCTATAGCCTGCCCAGAATTTTGTTAACCCCCCACAGAATTCGCAAGTAGTTTAGGTAGTTAAGATACCACAAGGAAGAAAAAATCCAGCCCCCCCCCCCCCTATAAATTCATCAAGGTACACATATGCATATTATGTAAAATACCTTTTTTCGGGCACTTAAGTACTTTTTTACACTTAAACAAATAAAATATTTTCAATTAAACTACAAACAAATTTTAGAACAATTTCAATAATTTTCTATTTAAATTAAAAACTTTTTTTTTTGTGACTAAATATTTCAACTTGATAAATGAACAAATAATACAATATATTCTTAAATATAGACTGAGTATTCTTAAAAATGCAAAATACATTTTTTTTTATGAGTTCTGTACTGAATAAGTCGTCCGGATTATTTACCCTAGTTGAGCTGCATAAAGTCAAAAAACATATGTAAAATCCTAAAAATCTGCTCTCTAATTATGTTTAAGAAGGTTTTAACAATTTTCATATTATACACATCAATTCGTTTTTAATTTTGACATTCCCTAATAACTTTTTATGTTTTGTCGTTTTTACCTTTTCCTCACGATACATATTATTTTTAGTAGGTACAGCGAAACTTCTACATGAAGTATATACTTTTTCACAGTATATTTTAGCCTCTAGGTTGGGTAATAAAGTAATTAATATCCTAGTTTAATTACCAACAAATTAATCAATCAAATAAACATATAATAATCATCTTAACGATTATTACATGATCAAAAAATTATATAAAAATGCAATAATTTATTAGTGTATAAATCAAATTTGATTATTTTAAAGCAATTAATTGTACAATAATTGCCCTACTCTACTAATCTATCCTACATTTCTTAACAAACTTCAGTAAATGGACCATCAGAAGAATAATTGAATATTTAATAATGTTTTTTTTCTTTCAGTTTAAAACTATTATAGCTCGACAATTATATTTTATTTTATGTATATAAGCGACAAAAGAAATTGCGATGTATATAGTAAGATAACAAACATAATAGAGTAATATAAACAGATAATAATAATGTTAACTGATATAATGAATAATTAAATAGACCTAATTTAATCAGGCAAAACCGAAACACAAAACTGGTATATTTAAACATTAATGGTGAAAAATTGATGTTTTACAATGTCATATTATTATGTGTATACACTCTCGTGTCTCATTCTCATAATGGTGAAAAGGGGTGTAGCTAACTAATACCTAGCTTGTGTTTTGCTAGGATTAACATGGTAAAGCAATTTTTTTTTGACCTCAGCCAAATGTTGAAAACAAAAACTGATTTATTGAGGACTATATTCTAAGCGAAACAGACTGAGGTTACTCTTGTAGGTATAAGACAATAGGATAACAGAAAAATTTGTACTTCTCTTTAGAATCTATTTTACTTAGGTATATTTGTAATATGTATCCCACTACTATATTAATTAACTTATGTGTTTCATTTTTAAGTCAAACTTTAAATTAATTTAATTAGATTTTTATAATTTAAAAATATCAGTGTTATATTAAATTATATTAAAAACATAAATACAATAATAATTGATAATAAATAAGAAAATATTGAACGAACAACTAATGTACAATATTTGTAAATGTTTACATCGGAGTATCAAATAAAATAGTAATGCATATTTTATTGTTTCTATTAATAATATAAGTAATATGTTTTTTTTATCATTTTTCACAGCCTCTATCATTAAGAAATAAAATAAATTAAAATATTCTGATAAACTATCTTCAACTACATTTTAGAAATATTATGAAACACAAATACACCTAACCTACTACACAAGCAAAATATTATTTTTTTAAATAAAATAAATATTTTAGGAACAACTAATTATGTATTTTCACACATACCTATGTTAATTTTTTGATTTAGCACTTTAGTATACTGAAATTCTACATTTAAATTAATTTACAGCATATTTAGACTTGAGACAAAAAAAAGTAATCTTTTATGGTCAAAAAGCCCATGCAAAACAAATGAAATAGCAAACAAAACAAATATTTTAAATGGTTATAATGAAATAACATTAAATATATTTATGCAACTATTGTAATGTTTTGAGGGTCTCATCCAAAAACCAGCCAAATAAATGATAAACAGATATTATTTGGATATATAGAAGATGGGATATTCTATAAATATAAAATGGGGCGCAAACCACAACCTCGAAAGGCTATCAAACTTGATTACTCGTATGCTATAATATATTAACTCACTTGGTCATTCCTTTGGGACCATCGGCTGAGAAGCAAGCCAATTTTCTAAATCTGAAGTTTTCATAATGCACATTACTGGTCACTTCTTTTAGATCTTGTAAATGTGTTCTTAATAGCATATTTCTTAAGGCAACAAAATCACAATGATCAAGATTTTCCACTAGAATATAAATAAAAACAAAAATTATTCAATGTCATACTTGAAGTGAACTTGAATGTGTTTACCTTCAACTAAACCCCAAGGATACTTTCGACCACGTACTTTTTTTCCATCCACTTCATGAACTTCGGTTGAACCAACTACAGCAAAAGGCACACGTGCCTTAAGTTTTTTTAAATTTTCCCGATCTTCATCTTTGTCAGAATCAGGGAAGTCGTAAATTTTGATTTTATGCTGAGCAATTTCTTTTAAAATCTAATAATAATAAAAATAGTTTATATATAATATTAAACATAGATTATCTTGCAAATATAAATTGTTATGTGTAAAAAAATATAAACCTGTTTTTTGTACTCTGTCACTTCATCTGGAGTCATTGTATCAGCTTTAGAAATAATGGGAATTATATTCACTTTGTCATGAAGTCTCTGCATAAACTCTACATCTAATGGAGTCATTCCATGACTATTTGACTCCAAAAAATATAAGCAACAATGTACACGGCTATCATGTTGTACTTTTCTATTAACTCTGGATTCAGCATTTAAGTATTCTTCATATCTAACAATATCAAAAAAGACATTTCAATTATCATACATTAAAATTTAATGACATGTGAGTTTATAAAGAATTTATATTCACCTTGACTCAATATATTCGAGCACCGGTTGCCAACAATCTGAATTGTCAACAGCATCACCAAACCCTGGTGTATCAACTACCGTAAGTGAAAGATTGACACCCTTTTCTTTTAACATACATCTGTTAGTTTCAACTCGTACTGTTTTACCAACACGTAAAGAAGGACCAGGATGTTCTTTGCCATATATGTCAGCTAAGAACATTGTGTTGATTAGGGTGGATTTCCCAAGACCCGATCTACCTATAACAATGTTAATATTAAAATTGAACATAACAAAAACACCTGATGCCTGTTGACACATAAAATACTAAATATAAATTAAGGAGGTATGATGTGTATTAAAATATAAAACAAAATTTTAATAAACTTACCAACAACCATGAGAGTAAATTCAAAGCCTTTCTTTACAGCTTTACGATATACTTGATTGGGTAAATTGGCAAATCCAACATATCCATCTAATTTTTTCACTTTTCTATCATTAACCTTTCCAGTTCCTGATTGATCTGTTTTTAAAAGTTTTTCTTTGTTTTCTGTAGGCTCCATCGATGTCTCGACTATTCATTTAAAATCAAATATTATTTAAGTAAAATAAATAAAAAAGATCAAAATCAAATCAAAAGATTTACCTTTAACAACAACTGGTACTCGCGGTAAATTCATTGGAGCAGTTGATGGTAAACTTGTACTTTGATTGGTTTTTATACTGTTAACAGAGTTCTGATGGGGCACTGGAGAAGTTGAATTGGGATTTGATTGAACAGTAGACGGAGTTCCACTGTTTGCCGATACGTCATTCTTAAAGAATAACTCTCGTTTGCTTTGTAACTAAACAATTAATAGTAAAGATTAAACATTTTAAAAAGAACAATAAACAAATTAAAACTATTTACAATGTTTTGAAAAAATTTAATCAAATGCCTACAATAATATCCTACAATCTTAAAATTTTTTTCTTATACCCCAACACTAAATTATACCAAATTGTTCATGTTGAAGTAACGATTAAATATTTGTATGATTAAAAAGTATTTAAAAATCAATGATGATAGTTATTGTTAATTAATAATCTCATAATATATAAGTATATATTTATCCAGCTTGCAAAATAATTATTTAATAATTATTTATAAATGTTAGCAAAATTATGTGTACACTTATGAATTTAAAAATTATTATAAATGTCAAAAAGTCGGATTACCGAAAAGTCAAATATACACATGAAAAGATGTATTCAAATAATGAATCCTATACCTAAAATATTAACTATAAAACTATAAACATTATAATTGGTCATGAAACTATGAATGCATATACACCAATTGTAACTCAGGCGCAATAAATGCGATTAAAAGGCTCAAGGGTGGTTGATTATGACTTATATGTGATGACCGTAGAACAATAGCTGATCAACATAATAACTATACTTTTGTGAACAATATGGATATTAAAATAATTAATGGTAGGTATGTTAACCATAAATTAAGATTAATTATCAGTAAGGTATAATAGTAACTTGAACTCCGCATCAGCAATATGGTATAAAAATAATCATAACACATACTAAACAGGTATAGGTGGTATTATATTATTATTAACTTTAAAATATTTAATATATTATAGTAAATAAAGTAGAAAGGTGACAATTTCATGTTTATACAATATTCCAATGACAGAATCTAGATATGATAGACCACAGTACACACATTGCTTTCCCTATACTACTATGCATATTAAAATATAATACAACGTGGCCACACCGAGACTCTTAAATCAGTTTTGTGCGGCTCTTGAACCTTGAACCAAGCTTAGACTAAAGTTAATAAATATAAAGTTCCGTCAGAATAATTAGATATTAGATAGGGTTTTTATTGCTTTAGGTTTTGTTGTGTGTTATGAGACTCATTTCAATCTTTGGGACTACTTAAATATGTATGTGAATCATTGTACTCAACGCTTATATTCATTAAATCTAAATATCGATCTGAACCAATAGATGAACATTTAAGTGAACTTGTACGAACTTCGCTTACAAATTATCATGTCAGATTTCAAAAAACTTACAGAAAAACAAACACTCAAAAAACCCCTTCTCATAGGTAAAATAATAATAATTTTTCATAATGTTTTGTGAAGTGTAAAAAAATAAATATTTCTTCATTTGATTTAAAATGAAAAATGTGTCTTCATTTTATAAACATCGCTTTACAATGTGGCTCATCGCCTCGAATTAGCTTTATAAATTTTGCGGCTCCCAAAATTAAGGTTAGTGGCCACCCCTGTCATAATATCTCTGTTTATTACTTAAACTTCATACGCATACACACTCACACGTATAATACGAGTATAAATTAAAAAATACTAGACATAAACATGTGTAATAATATATTGTGATAAACAATAATGAGTTTAAATGATTTTAAGAATATTAACAACTTAAATAAAAATCAGTCACAACTAATTAAGTGATTAAACATATTTTACAACCCATAGAGTGGCCCAAGAGTGACGCAAGTCAAATTATCATATGCCATGTACATGTTGTATAATTAATTTTTTAACCTAGCTCAATTTATCTTCTATTAAATTTGGTAATAAAACTAACAATTCATTACAATTTATCACTATTTCAAAATTGGACTCAGTGTTAAATTTTTATAAATCTCGTACCTATAAAATATAACAAACTATTTCTCGTTCCATAATTTTGAATGCATTTTACGCTCGTGCAGTGAACAAAACTATTTGAAAAACCAACTGGTGAAAAATAATCCTCAAAAATATTACACGATTTTTATCCGAAATGAATTCAGCGAGCTCACACAAAATATTTACTAAATCACGTTCCAGAAAAATCACAATGGCTTTATAAGATTCCCAACCATAAAAAATAGCTTATCCAATTTATCACTGACACACTCATAATTTAATTTATTATGCTTTCGATTTATGATTTGAATTACGTTTTATAGGCGCATCACTCACAAACATAAAATGCGTGATGTTATACTAAAAAAGTTAAGTATACCTATAATATTGGAATATATTTTGAGGTAAAGAATACCTTTCCGTATACACCCAATGACATTTAACTGACCTACATTTTTTGGATTACTACCGAATAGATTAGTTTAAAAATAAATAGCAATATTTAAGACCTACAAATTAAAATAATAAGATGAATTGTCCATAAACGTTGTCATCCAAATAAACTTTATGAAACATATTGGGTACATCAAAGATCAAAATGTAACAAGAAAAGTTAATTTTAATTTATAATTTTAATAATTATTCAATTTACCTACATTGACTTCCAGCTGATAACATTGAAAGAGAAACTAACAAAGATTTTAGAGAGAATAATAGTTAACAATAATTAATCAATAATATTTGCCTGAAGTTATAAAAACAATGTATTTTTTTCTTTGATTTAAATTCGTTTGTGTAAGAACTCTTAGAAAGTATTCAAACTAAATTATTTTTATGGATATATACACAGAAAAACAATATAAAGTGACATCATTAAATACAATAATATTATTATTATCATGAATAACATTAAGCCGATAAAACTATGATCTCAATCGAGTATGTTCGACGACCACATGATAAACTATACTACAATGGTTCCATTGACAAATTTAATTTTCTCACAACTTCACATCATTTAAACATAATCTTTATATTAATGTACAAAAAGGCGTGGCTAATATTATAATTAGAGCGCAATGACGTAATATCTATGGAGAAGCTAGTACTTAATACAGAAACAGAACACATGTGAAGATATCGTATAATAAGGGTTAAAACAAGAAGTCTGGGTGTAACCGAGGTGACATTCCACAAAAATCAAAATTATTACGATACTCCGATGACAACACCACGAATACTATAATAACCCAAATAACGCATTTAATGATAAGGTAAATATGGAAAATGTGGAAAATGTGTTCAAACAAATATATTTTTAATTTATTTTAACGAAACTATACGAAATGTTTTTACGATTATATTTGTCACATACATTTCACTCGAGTTAACTCAACGATCGTTGAACGACATGTTTTACTGGCCATATTTTCTGTGTGATATTGTTTGTAAGCAAAATAAAGCGTTGATTACTACGTAATTTAAAATTTCACTCTAAGTTGGCATACATAATATTACTAAATTATTTTGCATTAGTTTATAACACATTTCAACCATTCTAGATCTATCCATCCAGAACTGTTGAAATCGATCATAACTTAGCATAAGTAATAAAATATCACTAATAATTTTAACTGTATCAATAACACTAACAAAATCTGTTTAAAGTAGTAAAATAAATATGAAATACTCTGAGTTTTATCAGTTTTTTATCTTTTTGTTAATTTATCAGAGCATTTTCGAGAAATAAATGTACTATATGCATTAAAATACTGCATACTTTAAAAAACATTTCTGTAGGTCCATCAGATTCTAATTGGTCGAAACCACATAATGATGTATTATTTGAGCAACAATATGTAGGCACTAACATAATTGCATTATCAAAATTCGATCAAATTCGTAGATATCAATAAAAAATTTTGAAAAATAACTTTGAATAATATCATTTGGTGACGCATGTCTCGTCCAAAACTATACTTTTCAGTTTCACCCAACGATTATTAAGTCGTAAAAATAGTTAACAAATAAGGTTATAAAAAAAATTTAAGTTTCATTTAGCCAAGAAACTCCTAGAGAGTATACATACAAATTATTTATTTCACGTGAGTATTTAAACAATGTATAAAATATTTATTTAACTGTAACCAAAATATCAACAAAATCTAAATGATTAATGTTTTATATTAAACTCAATAATATATTATCTTTAAATTAATTTGTATTTAAAAAGTATATTTATGCATGTAATATAGGGATGTATATAACTGACTACAATATTCAGTTAGCACATCAAAAATGTTTTGATTTTAAATATAATACCGAACAAAAAATAATATTAAGTACTGATACATTAAAAAAATTGTATTATATTTCATTCAATGGTAATTTAATACTGATAAAGTGTTATGTATTTATTAGGAATCCAAGGATATTCGATTTGTCATTTTCCAGACAAAAAAACGATAACAGAAGTAAAAATCTTGGTAATGTAATTATTTACCAATGAGTAACATAATAATTAATAAGTAATAACAATATGTAAATTCTAGTTATGGTCGAGGATTTCATTAAATAAAAAAAATATTTATCGATATTGTATGTGCTTCGAGTATTGAATTCAAGTGCAGCCATAATTGTACATTCAATGATATTGATCATTAATCTATACGTCATTATGTTATATAAATCAATAAAATGTTTACTGATAATAGAGTATAAAATAATGAGCTCATTGCATAATAATTATATTATGCGTCTCATTTAGCTTTTCCCAAACATTAATCTATGTGAATAGGTGCAATAAATTAATATTCTGTCATTCATTAAAATAACTAATAAGTATAATTTATGCATAACATATCATGAAGTGTATTATGAATTTCATTTTGCCAACTAGAAAGTGTATAGTGAATAAAATACTTATATTTTTATCATAACCATAAGTATTATTTCTTATAAGAACTAATAATATAATATTCACTACAGTAAATTTGATGTTGGTAAACATAATAATAGATGTAATTTGTGGAAAAAAGTGGAATACAAATATAATTACCTATTATATAAAACCGCTGTTTTCTTAGATTGGTGTTGTATATTGCGATGAAAGTAAAAAAAACCTTATAAGTTAAAACCGAAAGAAAGAGGAAAATTCTATATAATAAAATTGTTAAAAA